ACAACGAAAAAACCATTTCGGCTGTATTTCGGAGGGTTAAAAAAAAAAAAAAAATTTTTCCAGAACCCTCTCAACATAATCTTTAAATTTAGGGGCGGACATTAGCAACTTTTTTTTTTTGTATGGGGACCGACCCAGTCTAATGTACATACGTGCATGCAAAGAGTTAGCGGCAAATTAAATACATGGGATACATAGATGACACTCAGAAACATATATGTGTACATATGTATCTCTAAATAATGAGAGTAACATATGTATGTATGTAAAATATTTGATATATAAATAAGAAATCGAAATGGAATACAAAAATGAAGTACATGAAATTGAAATTATGTTAAAGGCAGGAGTTCACAACCCCGTGAATCAGCCCGATTCACTACCTTCGACGTCCAGAACAGCCAATTTGGAGACGGCGCGTCGCTTCAATCCACCGGAAGTGAGTACGTCAGCTCGTCTGACCTCACCATCTGCTCCCGCATACAAGCGTTCAACCTTACCTCGGCACCAGTCCCGGCGAGGTACATTGGGATCGCATATAAAGACGAGGTCATCTATCTGCAGAGGTTTTGCCCTCTGGCACCACTTAACCCGGCGAGTCAATGTGGGAAGGTATTCCGCTATCCATTGTTTCCAAAAATGGTCCCTTAGTTGTCGGGCCAGACGCCACTGTTGTCGCAGAAAGCACGTCTTCTCCAGAACTGCGTTGGCAATCGGAGTTTGCGGTGTGTTGGCTTCACCCAGAAGGAAGTCATTAGGAGTCAGCGGCTGCTCCTGGTTGGCATCGATGGGCAAGTGCGTCAGCGGCCGGGAACTCACTATATTTTCAGCCTCGATGAGGAAACAGTTGAGCGTGTGCTCCCGTGGCGACGTTTCCTTCAAAGTGTGTCGTAGTACCCTCTTGACGCACTGCTCCAACCGTTCCCAAGCGCCCCCTCTGCCGGGTTGAAAGGCGAGTTAAAAATCCACTCTACGCCCCTTTGCGACAGCTCACTCTGCAGGCGATCGCAATCAAATACTTCACTGAAGCGCTTTGCTTTGATGTCAGCACCGACGAAGTTCTTCCCATTATCGGACTTCATACGTACGGGAACGCCGCGACGATTTATAAAGTTGCGCATTGCGACTATACATGAGTCAGTGCTGAGGTCATGAGCCAACTCCAAATGTACGGCCCTGACGGTCAGGCACGTGAATAACGCCATCCATCTTTTTTCGTGAGCACGACGAACGGTTACTGTTATCGGTCCAAAGTAATCAAGGCCCGTATAGCTGAACGGCCTGATATGGGGAGTTAGCCTATCAATCGGAAGCGGACCCATCAATGGTGGAACGGCGTGGATTTTCTTTAGGCGGCGTAGGGCGCATTTGCCGATTACACTGCGCAGCAAACTTCTTATACGTGGTACCCAGTAACAGCGACGTATCTCGCAAATAGTGGCTTCCAGATTTTGATGACGCATTTTGATGTGGTAGTGCATGGCGACCAAATTTGTGAAATCATGCCTTGGGGGGCAGTATGATTGGGCGTCTCGTGCATATTGGGAGCCAGCTGGCAGCATCTATGCGTCCTCGTACACGAAGAACACCATCTTCGTCAATATAAGGTGAAAGTTGAATAAGCGAACTGGTGCGTGGTAGGTCCTGCCCGTTTTCGATCCGCTGAACCTCCTCGGCGTATTCAGCATGCTGAACAAGACGGCACAAATAAAGCTTAGCAGTCTCGACTTCTTTGGCTGTCAGCCCATAGCATCGGTCTGGTGGATTACGGCGGCGGCAAATATCAATGAATCTCAGGACCCATGCTGTCGTCCTCACCAGTTTGCTGAATGAAGAGAATCGGTTATAATCTAAAAATGTACAACTTACGATCGCAAGGGCGAATTTAGGCCGAGGTTCCTCGGCAGCTTCCTCATTATGATTGTATGTCCCCTCTGACGGCCAAGCCTGCTCTTCTCGTAACAAAAATGGTGGGCCGCGGGACCAACGAGAAGATGAGCTGCAGTCGACAAAGTTATAAGCTCGAGTGGCCTCATCGGCGACATTGTCCTCGGTAGGTAGCCATCTCCAATTTGCGATAGTAGGTGCGGCTAATATCTCGGCGATCCGATGCTGCACAAATGGCTTATAGAGCCGATGTTCACTGCGAAGCCACTGGATAATTTTTTCGGAGTCACTCCAAATGATGTAGTCATCAATGTCAATGGAGTGCTCCTGCCGGATGCAGCTCATCAAACGCGTACCCAGCACGGCTGCCTGAAGCTCCAATCGAGGCACCGTCAATGACTTCATCGGCGCGCATTTGGTTTTTGCGGAGATAAATGCGACTTCCACCTCACCGACGGAATTGGTTGACCTCCAGTAGGCCACCGCAGCAAAGGCATCCTCGCTAGCATCGATGAAGACATGGAGCTGCAGAGCTTTAGGTTTGCCGTTTCGAAAATAGTACCGAGGAACGACATATTCGGCGACCGTTGGCAGTTGCTTAAGCCATCCTTACCATGCTGCGTTTACGTTGTTTGGCAATGGTTCGTCCCACCGGATGTCATGCTTCCACACTTCCCACATGAGGATCTTAGCGCTCACTATAAAATTGCTCAGAAATCCCAGCGGGTCGAAGATCGACATGACCACGCTGACGAGTTCTCGCTTCGTCGGACGGCGCACTCCGTTCAATACGCTGGAGTCTACGTTGCTGAACTTCAGTTTAAATCCAAAGGTGTCGGTCGATGCCTGCCAAAACAAACCGAGAACTTTGTCCACCAGTACTCCTTCCTTCTTGGCTATTTGACGGGTAGCTCCATCACCACCAAGGGCTACTGTCACTCTTGACCAGTTTGACGCGAAATTGCAAAGATCGAAACCGGCTATCTTGTTTCGTGATGTCAGCTGCTTCTTCCTGTGTCGAAGCTATCGACATAATGGTAGTCCAGTATGACCCGTCGTTAGTGTTTACAGTTTCATGCAACAATTTATGATGCAACCGTGTGCACCCATCGGTGGCACATGGTTTGCGCCGTTGGCAATGGCGCGACCCATGTCCAATGTTGAGACACGAAAAACAGAGCTGACGTCGTTTCACTTCTTCCCACCTCTACGTACTGTACTCTACTGTAAATTGGATGACTTATGTTGGCTGGCTTATGTTGGCCCTGGCAAAGAGGGCAGGGTGGATGGCGTTGTGACTCGGCAGCGTGCAGCACAGACCGGCGCTTCAAGTCTCTCGCTGCTTCCCCATCGTAAACCGTGCAGATGACATTGGCCAGTTTAGTAAGCCAATCGCTGAAATGCTGAACCGTTGCATAAGGCTGCAAAGATGAGGCGTAAACTGCCTATTCGATACGCTTGCTCATGGGTAGCTTTCCCACGAGCTCATCGAGAAGCGTTGGATTCGCTAAATACTGCTCTCCGCCACACGCAGAACGTGAAAAGGCAACTTTACCACTGAGCTTTCCCATATCGGAGCAATTTCTCGAATACGGGCTAGCTGGCTTCGAATTAATTGCTCCGGGCGACCGTATCGGAACTTAAGTTGCTCGATGATATTGTCCACATTGTTCGGGTGGATTAGCAGGGATTTAATAGCTTCTTGGGCCTCACCCCTTAAGCTCTTCTGCAGACGTAAGTTGTTTTCAAAACAGCTGTACCCATAGACAGCGGTTGACTCGGTGTAAGCAGTAAAAATATCGGCCAGTCCTTCGGTTTCCCACTAAACTCTGGCAAATCTTGCAATTTTCTTGGCTGTGCTGAAAACTGCATAGGTACGGAGCCTACGTTAGCAGGGATTGGCACCGTTGACGAAAGACTGCTAAGAAACGTGTTGTGCGGAGGCAAAGTCGAGCCGGGGCACATACCATTTGCTGTTGTTACAGCTGAACCATTTGTTGAAGATGTGTAAATAGGCGGCGAGAAACGATTGGCAGTATACATCGGGTAACGTGTAGCGTTATGAGGTGGGAACGGCGGCTGCATTGCATTTACATTGGTAGCAGCACTCGTTACTATCGGCGATTGCGGCTGGAACTGTGTCATTGGCAGGCTCGATGACGGCAAAGCAGATTTGTTGGCGGAACTGTCGCTGTGTGCACTGGCTATGCTTTGCGCATCTGCGCGTTGGGCTTCGTTTGCTAACTCGTGTTCTCTTATTTTCTGTTGGGCAACCTTCAGGCTGCTTTCAAGCGTGGCGATGCGTTTCTGCATAGCCTGAAACATCGCTTCCTGGCGATGAGGCACGAGTACTAACTCCCTCGGCCCCGGGGGTGTTTGGCAAATCAATGATGTCGGCGGCAGTGCCGGAATCCGATAATAACTTCGGCGGTTCGGCCACTGAGGCAGATGTAGTGGCTTTAGAAGCTGGTGAACGTATAGTCATATCGTCGATATCGGCGCGAAGATTTACGCATGCAATGTGGCTAATTGAAAGAATAAACGCAGTGGCAGGTTCTTTATGAACGGCAAATAAAAATATAAAATATATGCGAGTTGCAAGTAAACTCCTTAAATCAATGTATAAAATGCGGTAAATTCTTCGCCTGGCTGGCAGTGCGAAATTCGACGTTTCAGTCCCACATACAAATAAAACCAATAAGAACAGTTACAGTTCTTGTACGTTTGCGGAGGCAAACGCAAAAATATATGTGTGTGTACAGGCGATGACTGAGGAACGTCGAGAGCTTTCCATAAATGGCAAACAGTCAATGAAATAAATTATGTATTTCACTGCGAAATAAAGAAATTGTCGTCAACCCGCATGCGAATTTAACGCAAGTAACGTTGTCAGAAGAAAGGCGTATACACAAATTTAGTCCAATGACGTATTACTTGGTTTATTTCTAAAAATGTAAAGTCTTGTTACAAAAATATAATTGGCAATACTTTAGGAGTTACTTACGACAGTGTGGCCTTTACTCGATCTCTTTGGTTGACGACTGACTTTGAGATTGACTTGCACCAGCAGATCAACCAAATTATGGCAGCGGTAAATGAGCGAAAGACACATTGCGGTATGTATGTACACAAAACCCTAACATTAATTTGTGCATACATATTTAAAAAGGCAGAACTCCGCGACAAGCAACTCCAATGCTTTGCCTACATATATGTACATATGTATACGAACAGAAAAACCAAACGAAATAGACAATACTGCATTGACCGTATCTATTGCGCGGACATGTACATATGTACATACGTGCATGCAAAGAGTTAGCGGCAAATTAAATACATGGGATACATAGATGACACTCAGAAACATATATGTGTACATATGTATCTCTAAATAATGAGAGTAACATATGTATGTATGTAAAAAATTTGATATATAAATAAGAAATCGAAATGGAATACAAAAATGAAGTACATGAAATTGAAATTATGTTAAAGGCAGGAGTTCCCAACAACCTTGATGGTATCGATTTATCCCTACCTACGCATAGTGGTGGTAAATGACAGAATGAATTACAACAAACACATCCTTTTGACATAGTGCAAGCCGAAAACGTTGGTTCAAATCAATCCGCAATCAAGTTGGACGTTTTGCCCACAAACATTGCAATTTTGCGAGCAGTCTCATTGTAAAATCTCATTTTAACAATTTCGTAGTTTCGGCTTACATTTATAAAATTCAACGAAAGCACGTACCTATTTCGGCTGAGTTATCCATTTTCGGTTATTTAGTGTACAAAATAAACGCAAATTCAATGAGTTTGTACAACATGGCCTTTAATGTAGCGATAAGTTGTACAGCTTGCCAGAAAATCCAAATTTTTTGATCTTTCATACAACCAAGACACAAATTCATTCAACAGGCCCACAAACGGTGCAATCTAGAGCAAAACAACACCAAGTTGAACCAACGGTCGCTACGTTTATGGCTTTCTTTAAGAAACATCGGGCGAAAATTTCAACTGCTCCTGTAACACCATGATTCAATAATACAAGGTTCGATAAACTGACAGTTGTCTCTCTCGCACCGCTCCCTTAGCAGTGGCACCGTGTTGCTTCTTTGCAAATTTACATGGAAACAGTGTAGCTTTGGAGTGAAATAAAAGTATAAGCTTTTGTGCAATATGTTTATTTGTATATGCATATGAAGCATATTTAACTGATGAAAACATAAGCATTGGATGTTTACATCAATCTCATAGTAGTCTTATTTTAATTTTGAGTCATTTTGCAGCTTTTATACGGCTAAATAGCATATTAATTACGTAATTCACGTAGATATATCAATATTACGTTCAACATTTCGTTTAAAATGCCAGATTTCCTGCAAATACATAAGAATTTACGAAAGGAATTTCACAACTAATTGCCTACTTTGCGTACTTTTCTACTACCATTTTCGAAACAAGGGATTGCATTCTTGCCCTTTCTCTGTCCTTCGTAAATGCAACCTTTTGTAAGGGAGTGTCAAACCGCAGCTGTCAATAATTATCTAACCTTGTATTATTGAATCATGCTGTAACACTACCTTATATAGGTTGGCCTTGCTATCATCCTCACATATGTTCATCAGAGTATACCAACGAAGGACGAGTTAATACAAGGAGATAGCGAGAGCACAAAAATACTCTAAAAAATTACACGCACAATAACAAACATGAACAAATGTACAACAAACACATAGTTTTTGACAATCAGTACAGTTCGCATTTACCGGCCGTCTTCACGTGCTGGAAAATCTCACTTGCGTGACGACGCATGTGAGAAACCGCACGTATAGACCGCAAAAAGTACGAAGCGTGCTTTTTCTCGCATACCGAGCGGTATGCGAGCTCTCGCTTGCTTTCCACTGTCATTTTCGTTGTTTGACAGCTATGTTCTCATTTCGCAGAATTCTTCAGAGTAGCAACATCGTTTATTTTGGAGACAAATACAAATTTCTTTCGTTTCTTGCGGCTTTTTCTCTCTTTATGCAGATTTTCTCAAACTTTTAAGAGCCTGCAAGGCTTGAACCTTCTTGTTTGGCCACATTTTACAAATGAAAAAGTATGCTGTCAAATGCCCAGTCAACAAAACTCTACCTCGCTTGCGAGAGAAAAAAGCAGAACGCAAGCGAGATTTTCAAGCATGTAAAGACGGCCGGTTATATCAACGAGCAGCTTATTAGATTTGTTTTCGTTTGCACTACATATGTGCATATATATATGTACACAAACATATGTACATACACAAACATATGTACATACGTACAGATATATATCATGAACCAAAAAGACAAGATCACGTAAGAACGCGACGTTGTATTTG